GTCCTGGCTGTCTGGCTGTGTGTGTGTCCTGGCTGTCTGGCTGTGTCTGTCCTGGCTGGGTGTGCGTGTGGTGTCCTGGGTGTGCGTGTCTCTGCCCGCTCCCGCTCGCCCTGACCCCTGACCCCTGACGGCGTCTCTCCCAGATCCCCAAGCAGCTGGTGCCCCATTACTGCGAGCTGGTGGGGGCGAACCCCAAGGCCCGGCCCAACCCGGCCCGCTTCCTGCAGAACTGCCGCGGCCCCGGCGGCTTCATGAGCAACAGCTTCGTGGAGACCAACCTCTTCCTGGAGGAGATCCAGGTACGGCCCGGCCCGGCCCGGCCAGCTGTGTTCCTGGGGGTAGGGGGGCATGGGTACCGACGCGCTCTCTAGCGCCCCCTGCGGGGAGGGGGTGTCTCTTTGCCGTTGCGGATACTTCGGATCGGCTCCGGCTCCGGGACACAGGGAGGTCAGTGAAGGATGGATGTTGGGGGAGGAGGAGGAGGGAAGGGTAACATCTCATTTTACACCGTTTTCCCGTCATTTACCTTTCGATTTGTCAGATCAAGGAGCCGGCGGAGAAGCAGAAGTTTTTCCAGGAGCTGAGTGACAACCTGGACTCCTTCCCGGAGGACTTCTGCCGGCACAAGGTGCTCCCGCAGCTGCTGACCGCCTTCGAGTTCGGGAACGCCGGCGCCGTGATCCTCACCCCCCTCTTCAAGGTATCAGCCGGGTCCGGGATCCGTTTTCCGGGTTTTGTTTTTGGGGGGTTTTGTCTGTCCTGAAGGGGCGGTCCCGGGTTCAGGATGTGCCAGCTGTGATCCGCGTTTTCCCCGTTCCCCCCCCCCCCCTTACGCGCAGGTGGGGAAGTTCCTGAGCGCGGAGGAGTACCAGCAGAAGATCATCCCGGTCATTGTGAAGATGTTCTCCTCCACCGACCGGGCCATGAGGATCCGGCTACTGCAGCAGGTCGGTCCCCGGTTCTGGTCCCCCTGTCCGGTTCGGCCTGGATCCCGGGTCACCCCAAGCACGACCGGGGAAAATCCGGGCGGCTTGTTCCCCACCCCCGCCACCCTTTGTGTAAAGAAGCGGTTTGCCTTCCCAAATATAAGAAAAGCCGTCTTCTGCTGTATCTCAGAAATATGTGCACGCTGGGCGGCATTAAAGCAGCCGAGTGGATTAAATTAAATTTAGAAGATTAAACGGGTTCTTTACACAAAGGGTGTGGAGGAGCCCGCTCAGCTGGTGTTGTTGTTGAGGCTGATCCCCTGGCTGACCCGTCTTCTGTCCAGAAACAGCTGGATGAGATCACTGATCTGGGCTGAAGGGCCTCCTCTTGTTTACAGCCTTTGTACATTATTTCTCTCTCTCTCTCTCACCTCTCTCTCTGTCTTTCTCCATCTCCCTTCCTTCTCCCTCCCCCCCTCTCCCGATCTCTCCCGCTCTCAGATGGAGAACTTCATTCAGTACCTGAACGAGGCGGCTGTGAACTCCCAGATCTTCCCCCACGTTGTCCACGGCTTCACGGACACCAACCCCGCCATCCGAGAGCAGACGGTCAAGGTGGGGGGTCAGGACTGTCCGCCCGGCCAGCGGAGCCCTGTGGACCAGAGGAAACGAGACCAGACTAGCAGAGCCAGCAAAGAGCCTGTGTTTTCAGGGGTTCAGGTCCAGTCCTGTTAGACCAGGGAGACAGCCGGTCAGTTGGTTCAGGTCCAGTCCTGTTAGACCAGGGGGACAGCTGGTCCAGTGGTTCAGGTCC